AATCAGTTAATTATCATGCAAATTAGGTAATTAATATTCATAGATTTTTACCCAAAACTAATCAAATCTGCGCATTAGATCAGAGCATCCATGTGCCAAGTTTCATCAAAATCCAATGAGTAGTTCTTCAAATATCAGTGGAACAGTCATGGAACAGCTTAAAATCAGTTAATTATCATGCAAATTAGGTATTTAATATTCATAGATTTTTACCAAAAACAAATCAAATCTGCGTATTAGTTCAGAGCATCCATGTGCCAAGTTTCATCAAAATCCAATGAGTGGTTCTTCATATATCAGTGGAACAGTCATGGAACAGCTAAAAATCAGCTAATTATCATGCAAATTAGGTAATTAATATTCATGGATTTTTACCATAACCTAATCAACTCTGCGCATTATCCCAGAGCATCTATGTACCAAGTTTCACCAAAATCTGATTAGTGGTTCTTGAGATAACGGTGGAACAAAAAAAGTGACATACATACATACATACATACATACATACATACATACAGACATACGGACATACAGACAGGGTAACTGCAAAGACTCCCTTTTGTGCTTCGCACACGGGAGTCAAAAAGGAGTGGTTACCAATGTCACCATGGCATTGATTTTACACAGGGAATAAAACACAACACTAAGAAAAGGAGTGGTTACCAATGTCACCATGGCATTGATTTTAGACAGGGAATGAAACACTACACTAAGAAAAGGAGTGGTTACCAATGTCACCATGGCATTGATTTTACACAGGGAATGATGAAACACTACACTAAGAAAGGAAGTGATTACCAATGTCACCATGGCATTGATTTTACACAGGGAATGAAACACTACACTAAGAAAAGGAGTGATTACCAATGTCACCATGGCATTAATTTTACACAGGGAATGAAACACTACACTAAGAAAACAAGACATGAAATGTCACAGTCCCCGTTATTTGATTATAAAGTTGTACAAGGAACATCTGCAAACAGGTGAATAAATATGTACTCTTTGTGGTTACAACTCATCATAAAGTGATTTCCGATGATCTAGTTTTGTACTGACAACTAAAAACTTCCACTGACCCATGTTCAGAATCTCAGAGTACACAAGTGCAACAAAACTATTTGTCATACATGTATACTTGCTCAAGAAACTGCATTCATAAATCTGAGTGAACCTTGATGTACCGGTACATGATTACCAAGACCTGGGTTTGTTTCAACATCACCACTGGGCATCAGAATCATTCTCATGTTGTCAAATACAATTTGTACAGTAAGGTTTATTATTTAAAATGTATTCATTGTACATAGAACAACATCTGTTAATTTAACCAATTGTAAAAGCTATGTTTTCAGAGCAAGTACATGTAATAATTAAGAAAGCCAGTTGCGATAAAGGTTGGTCTGCTCATTCCCTTCAATGGAGAAGAAACAAATAATTGAAATCTTTTTAGTGCAGTGATAGTATTGCATTTCAATCATTATTAATAGGTATAAAATACTGTAAACCATTTAATTTTCACTTCTAGATATATTCAGGATTTTGTAAAATTTATGTACAACATTTCAATAAAGTCCCTGACACTCCATGTTGTAGGAACCCAGAAAAAATTGCCTTGCGAAATTGAAGCAGTTCACAGCACCACTGTAAAAAAAAAAAAAAAAAAAAAAAGGTTAAAATGAGTATAGTCAAAGACATGCACATGTGGGTTCATAAGACATATGTCCCAATCTGAGTGGTTCTAGGGATAAGTATCACCAGATTTTACTCTCCGTGATTCAATATCAGTCCTATGTATAACGCTGTGTTGATCAGGCGAACTAATTGGCCCTACAGGTATCGCTATGAAATCACAGTAGTTTTGTATTCTTCTAGCATTTCGACCATGGAAAAATATTTGTTTTTGAAAGTGGACGAATTATTAGAAGAAAAACAGAAACTATTTTTTTAGTATGAATTCTAGTAACTGAAATGCAGGATTGAAAAAGAACAAGACAATACGCAGGATTGATAAACCTTCAGCGAGCACTCCTGAAATTTCAGATCATTGGTACCATGTTTTTGGATACATAAAACATAAAATCA